GGGGGGCGTGCTGTCACTTGGCGGAGCTCTCTCGTCCTTACGTGGTATCCAGGCAGAGTCCCTTCCCGCCCCCCTCCTCACGGGGCTGAGACTGCTCTCCCCCTCCTCCCTCCCCACCCCGCTGTAAGTTATTAAATACAGCAAAGGTCGCCAAACCCACCTGCAGGACAGTTCCTTCCCTGTGAAGTCCCGTGCCCGCTCGACACACACACACACACCTTTCCAGCCACACACACACACACCTTTCCAGCCACACACACACACACACACACACACACCTTTCCAGCCACTACCTGAGCCCCACCTGCATCTGCCCTTGAGCAGTTTTGAAGCATTTCTTAAGGCTGCCTTCTCCTTCCCACCCTAGGACTTCTGAACCTTGAGGTCAGTCCCCTCATTCAGCCAGCCCCTTAATTTCAGGACTCAACTCCCCCCTTACCCCCCCCAAAAAAAGTCTTGGAATTACAGTGCGTGTCATTTCTGAGATAAACCCCAGGTGTTGGAATCGCTAAAAGGGCTCTAATTATTTTCCTGACAAACCCCCTTTCTCACACACTCAGTCCTTCCCCCACCCCAGACTTAAAGCCTGTACCACCTGCTTCTGGATGAAAATATGAACTATTTCCATGCATTTCAGAAACATCTAATTAACTTGCAGGGAAACATTAAATAGTGAAAAGCAGATTTGTGCCTGGAATTGTTATCCTGTCCTACAATACAATCCGAGGAGGCCAAAAATTACTCCATTTCCTCTTTATACAGGAGTAACAAAGCCCATTGTGTTTGAGTTGACAACCTGATTTAAGCCCTAGCAAAACCTACCCTGAGCAGCTCTGCTAATTGATTTGCCTCTGGAAGAGTGGCCACGTCTCATTCTCTACCTCCTATGGTGGATCTGCCTTCCTTAAAGGTAGTGGACTTAAGACCATTCCTGGGAACCGTTAAAATGTAGACAAACGGGATAAAAAGAAGTGAAAAAAAAATATGGATGAACAAGCTTAAGCTAGGAAAGAAAAAAGAAAAGATTTTTCCTTAGATTTCTGGAAATGCTTTCTTACATTTCTGAAGTCCAAATACAGTTCAAAACCTGGATCAACTTGGGACTGGGCTCATTAATTTTAGTCTCCTGAACTGTTCAGGTAGAAGGTCCTAGAAAA